TGTGTTCTCTCAGCTTGCCAGGAGAGCCTCGCTGAGCTCACTGGATTCTCAGACTACCTGCTCTGGAAGGTCCCACATAACACAACTTTTTTCATGAGGAGAAGTTGCCTACCACAGCCTCAGAGGAGGGATTTTCCCTGATTCTTGCACTAGGGAGTGGGAGAGAATCTAATTCTTTTCACAGGAGTTCCCTGATATGGGGGTGCAGAGTCAAGAACAGCCCAAGCCCTGTGGGGACTGTTCAGTCGCCCTCCTGGAGCCCAAAAGATTCCCCCAAAGTCCTGTTATCTGGTGGAACTGAAAGCCCCAGAGCTGGAAGGCTCCTGTCAGTGCCCTCTGGAGTGATAAGAGTTTTATCACGCAGTGTGTCTCTGCCAGGCTACGCTTTGCAGAAGTGGTGACAGAAGGAGAAGGAACCATGACATCCCTCACAGCCTCAGGAGGGTGTTTATGTACCACTTGCAAGTAAATAACACCTTGCAGGTAGGTAATACCTTGTCAGCTGCTTCCCCTTCAGTGTATTGTCCATTTCATATCCTTTTAGGGGGCAAAGAAGGTGCCACCCTGATAATCACCACTCCAAACAAAGGCATGAAGCTGATTCAGTGATATACAATGAACCACTCACCCGAGTCCTGCACAACCATCAGCAATCTCCCAAAACTCAGCCCTCTGATTTTCAGCATGTTTTCTGAGAAGCTCCAATGTCAGCAAAAGCACTAACTAGGACAGGTCAGTCACTTACTTTCCTTTCGAAAATTCAGCTGTGTCTCCCAGATTAACATTGCTCTGCCAGGGACTTCCAAAGCTCCTGCAGATCCTGCAGTTTATTAAAGACCAGGCACCCCCTCACATGTGAGCAGTAACAACAGCAACAAAGGGAGGGAGACAGACAGGCACTTCAGATCACAGCAGGTTGTAAGCACTTTAATTAATTTTAATTACAAAAATTGCTTGGAGCTGAGGCATTGCAGGCTGCCAGTGCAGGTTTGGTCAGGAAGAGCCTGTCCCCAAAGGCATTGAAGGTCATCCCCCAAACTTGCAGGCAGCATTGCCATTTTTGTCACACTGGGGTGCTGCTGTGTTTTCATTTCAGGTTAAAGTTGGCAGGAGAGACTTTTATTGCCCTTTTTTGTTAACAGAAGAGTTTTCTAACAGCAAAGGTTGAGTGGTGTGAGAACACCTTGCTGGGTCTGCCTTTAACACTGCACATAACTACTTGCACAGACACCCAAGGCAGGTGGGCCAGTGGTGAAACAGCCTGGGTTGCCCCACACCCTTCTTTGGCCCATGGAGCTTTCTGTGACCTGAACTTCTCAAAAGTGAAACCCATCTGAACAGCCCATTAGGTTTTGCTTTACTCAGTGGAGCCAAAGCCATTAAAAAGAACAAGTGTTGTGTTCACCATCAGCAATGGGAAAAAATTCTCAGTCCCGTTTCTAGCAGCCCATAGCCTCTTGATTTTCCAAACAGAATGGACATCTGGAATTCTCCCAGAGTGACTTTTTAAAGAAATAAACAGCCAGTGCTCCTTGAGATGAAAAAGCTGAGTGGAAGTACAGTTTGGGGTAAGGAGAACAAGGCAAGAAATCTGCTGCAAAAGTGAGACAGTAAGAAAGGAACCCACATGGTCTTGAAAACTTCCTCCTTCTTGGACAATGCAGAGAAGTGTCCAGGCACATTTATCTTCACTCTGTTCCTCAGAGACTTTCTTCAGAGGCCTTTTCCTTCCAGATATTCCTACAGAGGGTCACTGCTGTTTCTCAAGTGATTCAGGCCCTGCCTCCCCTGCCCCATCTGCCCCAGACTGTACATTCCTAAGTGGAACATACCCACTGAACTTATATTTTCTGCCTCCTTGGCACTTATGCCGCAAAAACAAACCTTTCATTTTCACGAAAACTGCCTCACTCTTTTTTTCCCCACAGTACCTTATGGACAGTGTAAGCTGGCAGATTTTCCCTCTGAACATATGGATCTCACTGATAAAGCCTATCTCCAGCACTTAGTCCGTGCTGTGCAGTCTGTGCCACCTCAGCTGCATCCCACCCGTGTTTGGGAGGCTTTAAAACCCTTCCACTAAAACAAAACAGCAACTTGGAGATGTGTTAATGTTCAAAACCCCTAGTGTGATTCTACAGTTATTAATTAGCACATCCAACAAGGTGCCTGCCCTCTGAAGGGCATTAAAATCCCATGAGACAGAGGCTGAAGAGCAGGGACCTACTACACCGGGTTAAGCTGAACAGCTGGAGGTGTTTTTCAGCACCATTAAAAATAAATAAATAAACCTTTTCAGCTGCTTTTCAGCCCCTTGTCGTGGCTCTCAAATCATTCTAAACATGACAGAAAAAAAAATTCCATCATTATTAAAGGGCCCTCGGTGACTCACAGAACAAAAGCTGCACACCTGAAGTGTGACTCCTCTTCAAGTCTCCTCTCCTTCCGTGCTGGACTGAGCTGTGGGGGAGTGACTGCCTCTGGAGGCTGCCCTGGACTGTCACCTGGGATCAGGCACCAACCTGCTGCCGTGGGGATGACCGAGGCTTTCACTCAACACAGCCACAAGAGGTACTGTTGCCACATGGCTCAGGGATGTGGAGGTTGCTTTGCTCACTGCCCTGGTGCTGAGGGCTCCCAGCTGGGCAGGTCAGAAACACGAGACCCGATCTGCATTTCAGCTAAAATCAAATTTATAAGGGCTGTTGTTCGCTTTTTTCAGCCCTGCGCTGAAACTGCCAGCCCAACTCCCAAAATTCCACATGGACGAAGATTGCTCCCAGATAAAAGGTGTCAGGACAGAAAGCTCTTGCTGCCCACGGAGTGCCCACGCTGGCCAAACAACTGCACCAGAAAGCCAAAGGTTGCAGGCTTTCTTTGCTGGGGAGAAGGGCTGTTGTTTTCTTTTTTCAGCCCTGCACCTGTCAGCCCGATTCCCAAAATTCCAGATGGATGAAGATTCCTTCCAGACAAAAGGTGCCACCGCAGAAAGCTCTTGCTGCCCACCGACTGCCCAGGATGACTCTTCAGCTGCAACAGAAAACCAAAGGTTGTAGACTTTCTTTACTGGGATAAGGGCTCTTGTTTGCTTTTATCAGCCCTGCACTGCAACTGTCAGCCCGACTCCCAAAATTCCAGATGGAAGAAGATTGCTCCCAGACAAAAGGTGCCACACCAGAAAGCTCTTGCTGCCCACCAAGTGCCCAAGTTGGCCCACCAACTGCACTTGAAACTGCACCTAAAGGTTCCAGGCTTTCTTTCCTGGGGATAAGGGCTCTTGTTTTCTTTTTCAGCCCTGTGCTCAAACTGCCAGCCTGACTCTCAGTATTCCATACAGATGAAGATTCCTTCCAGACAAAAGGGGCCACCACCGAAAGCTCTTGCTGCCCACGGAGTGCCGAGAGTGGCACACCAACTGCACTCGAGAGATGGAGGGTCAGGGCTTTCTTTCCTGGGTGGAAGGGCAGTCGTTAGGGTTAGGATTAGGGTTAGGATTTTGAATTAGGGTTAAGTTTAGGGTGAGGTTTAGAGTTAGTTACGATTATGGTCAGGGTTAGAGTTAGGGACAGGGTTAGGTTTAGAGTTACAGTTTGTTTTAGGGTTAGTTAGGGTTAGGGTTAGATTTAGAGTTTAGGGTTTGGGTAATGGTTCGGTTTAGGGTTAGGGTTAGGGATAGGGTTACGGATTTGGTCAGGGTTAGGCTGTCCAATTGCCAGAATTCCATATGGATGAAGATTCCTCCCACGCTAAAGATGCCAGGACAGAAAGCTCTTGCTGCCCATGGAGTGCCCAGGCTGGCCCACCAACTGCACCTGAAACCCAAAGGTTTTAGAGTTTCTTTCCTGGGGGAAAGGGCTGTTGTTTGTTTTTCAGAGCCCTGTGCTGAAATTGCCGCTCCTGCCTTCCATCCCCTCACGATTTCCCCTCAGGGCTTCCCACTCCCTTGTCCCGGCAGGTCCTCTGCAGCGCCTCAGCCCTTTATTATCTCCCAGTGCCCCATCCCCTCAGGCTCTCCCCCAGCCCCACCAACCTGCCAAGCAGCAGCACAGTCCTGAAGGAGCTCCACAGGAGCTGGCTCAGGAGGCACCTCCCAGCCCTCAGCAAGCCAGACAGCAGCACACGGGCAGGCCACAGATGCTGCTTCCCGGCTGGCACAGGGCTTGTGGCCACCTCTGAGGACCAGCTTCTCAGGGATCCCCACAGCTCCAGGCTCTGCCCATCTGCTCTGCTGGAAGTGTTGAGGCTCCAGCAGAACCCCCCAAGGCCAAGGGCCTTTTGGGCACTTTCCCTGCTCCACTGCACACCTGGGCAAGTGTTGCTGAGCACAAGGGCCCTTTTCCCCCTCTTCCCCTCTGTGGGCACCAG